TCTCTCTCTGTCTCTCTCTCTGCTCGAGTCTCTCTCTCTCTCTCTATGGTCATCTCTCATCGTCTCTAATCATCGCTCTGTCCTATCTCTCTCTTTCTCTCTCTCGTCTCTCTCGGTCTCTCTCTCTCTGTCTCTCTCTCTCTCTGGCTCATCCTCTCTCGTCTGTCTCTCTCTCTACGGTCTCTCTCTCTCTCTCGTGTCTCTCTCTCTCGTGTCGCTCTCACTCTCTCTAGGTCTTGTCTATCTCTCTCTCGCTCTCTGTCCTATCATCCTCTACTCTCTCTCACGGTCTGCCCTCCCATGCCTCTCTGCTCTCCCTCTTCCCCCCCATCTCTCTCTCTCTCTGCCAGCTAAGCTGTTTCAGCCCAACATCTCTGTGTCCTCCTCCATGTACGGGGTCTCCGGGACCCAGCAGCAGGGTTTCCAGGTGTTCAGAGGCTCCACTTTCAGCATCAGTTGCTCCATCCAGCCTCAGTACCCAGGAGGCTCCTTCCAGCTCAACTTCACCTCCATCAACTCAGCAAACAACTACTACTCAGAGCCAGCTGTCAATCACTCTGCCCACTTCCTGTTCCCGGCTGCAGAGCCCGCCCACCAGGGAAACTACAGCTGTATTTATCACGTCTCTGCTTTTTCTCAGGACTTCTCCTCTGAGAGCCGTCTGCTCTCCGTCACCGTCACAGGTGAGCTGTTAAGAGTTTACTGTAGGACAGAGCGTGATGCTCCCCAGGAGAACGCTGGTGAGGACTGAGTGTTTTACTGTGAGCCCTGAAGCAGTCACACCCTTACATCACATGTAGCTTTCCAGAGCAACGTACAATAAGTGCAATGAACCCTGAAGACATGAATCCAGAACAGCAATCCTCCAGTCAGCTGTAGTTTACATTGGAGTATTGCCATGAGTACTGACTGTTTAACAGATACAGCTAGCAGCTTCTCCCTACAGTCCTACTGTCTGCTATGAACAGGAAAAAGGGTTGGGGTTGAATGAAGATCTTAAGAAGATGTAGTTTATTGTAATATAACTGTAGAGAGGAGTCTCCATGCTGAAGTGGGTTCAGGTCTCTGTGTGTTTGCTGACTCTTGATGTGATGCTGTCCATGTGTTCGATCAGATCCAGAACCTTTTATCATCCGAGCCGTCGTCCTGCCACTGACTCTGCTGCTGGTGCTGCTGGTGACCGTCGGCCTTTACTTCTACTGCAAGGTACGGAAACATGTTGTTGTTCCACCACTGACTGAATGATAAGGTGCTGAAACATGTTGTTGTTCCACTGACTGAATGATAAGGTACTGAAACATGTTGTTGTTCCACTGACTGAATGATAAGGTACTGAAACATGTTGTTGTTCCACCACTGACTGAATGAAAAGGTACTGAAACATGTTGTTGTTCCACTGACTGAATGATAAGGGACTGAAACATGTTGTTGTTCCACCACTGACAGAATGATGAGGTACTGAAACATGTTGTTGTTTAACCACTGACTGAATGAAAAGGTACTGAAACATGTTGTTGTTCCACTGACTGAATGATAAGGGACTGAAACATGTTGTTGTTCCACCACTGACTGAATGATGAGGTACTGAAACTTGTTGTTGTTCCACTGACTGAATGATAAGGTACTGAAACATGTTGTTGTTCCACCACTGACTGAATGAAAAGGTACTGAAACATGTTGTTGTTCCACTGACTGAATGATAAGGTACTGAAACATGTTGTTGTTCCACCACTGACAGAATGATGAGGTACTGAAACATGTTGTTGTTCCACTGACTGAATGATAAGGTACTGAAACATGTTGTTGTTCCACCACTGACTGAATGATAAGGTACTGAAACATGTTGTTGTTCCACCACTGACTGAATGAAACAGTGTGTGTTATCGAACAGGAGTGATGCAGGAAGTCTCACTGCGTGCTGTCATGTCTCTCCAGGCCACCAGGGGGCGGAGGCCGAGCCGACAGGAGGACATTGAGCTGGATTACCTGGGTGTTCCTGCTGAAGAGGAAGGAGCTCAGGGAGCAGAGTAGCAGCTCCAAGGAGCTCCTCTCACACACATGGGTTTATCAGCTCTTATAGCTTTTAACCAACGTTAGAAAATATAGCTTTCACTCTGAAAGTCACCAGCAATGTGTTAGTGCCTCATGTTTCCTGACTTCCTGTCAGCTCCAAGCCCATTGGTTCCCACTGAAGATGAAGATCTTTAAAAAACATCACAAGTTAGTTTTATTTAGAAAAGTCAATGCAGTCGGTGCAGTTTGAAACCACAGACACACCAACCCAGGCCGCTCAGGAACTAAGTTGGCTAATGAATGCCATATATTAATGTTCAAATATCCTCTAAAAACAGTGTTACAATACCCAGTGTTTGAATCTAATGTAGTGATTCCTGAGATAACAGGAGGAACGCGTTACAGCGCCACCTAGTGTTGGATTTGTAGACCTCGAGCACAACAACGTTTTTTTATATTTTTATATCAACAAATAAGAAAAAGTGCAGTTTATAAAATGTTACGTTTTTCACAACAATTCATTGATCAGCGAGATGGGATATTTGATCCCCTTGTGGGTCACATGGGTTATTTTAGCAGCAGGACCAGATTTAGCTGAACAATATACAAATAGGAATTGAACAGAAGTAAATAATCCATACACTTCTTATTTCATAACAATGCTGATTTTATATTGAAAAATGTTATTTCAGAAGAATTCAGCTTGATTTTGGTCTGAAGAGATTGTTTGTAAAAAAAGAGAAATCCAATTTTTTTTTAGAGAAATCCGATTATATTTGTAATTTGCCAAAATGTATAAGATTTTAACTTTTCTTTAATTTTCTTATTTCACGTGTACTGAGCTCAGTTTTGTAATCATTTTCAATCATTCAGTATTTTTCTTACTTTATAAGAATTTTAATTACATTTTTGATGGTATTTGTCTGTATTTTGTAGTAATTTAGCTGTGTTTAAGAACTCCACCTATTGGAGAGCATTCCCAAATTCATAAGATATTAAATACTAACATGTTGTAATTAAAAATGTACATAATTTTGTAGAAGTTTCCTTTTTAATAGGTAATGTGCTTTGTTATGTGATCAAGAAATGTGCTTGTTTTTGTATTATTGAGGATTGTACTTATTTCACAAGATGATCAATAATATGTAATCATTACTTTTTGGACTTTTATGAAACATTTTAATTTCTTTAGAATTTCACTTTTTTCAAAGAACTCAGATTATTTTTGTGATTTAGGATTTTCCCAAATTCAGGAGACTAATTATATGGTACTTAAAATGTTAACATTGTCCGTAAACAAGTGTTGTGATTTTGGAACCGAGAAATGTTTTTGCTTCATAAGAATTTTGATTGATTTTGATTTTGTTGAGACTTGGTATTTTTTATAAGAATTTTGTTTTCGATTTTAGAAAAATATTGACCATTATTTCGTAATTTTCTTGATTTTGTTATGAAGAATGTTGCTTTTTTTAACACATTTTTTTGTTGAAGATTTTTCTTGATTTCTTGATGATTTTTGCATCACAAATTCTACTTGAAAAAATTAAGAGTTTTGACCAATTTGGTTTCCATGAGATTACGATGAAGCAAATCGTCTTAAATTCTGAACACAGCAGAATCCTCCAGAAATCATGACGATGTTCAACATCGTCATGCTGTAAAGCATGCGTAAATGCTGTCATTTGCTATGTACCAAAAAAATAATAAAACTTCTTTAATAATCCATGAAACTCTGAGAGTGAGCTGATTTCAAAAGTGTTTCTCCTGGTTGGAAAATGATGTGTTTGCTTTGTTTCTGTGTTATAACTAAACCTCAAGGCTTTAGTTATAACAGGTTAGTATTGAAGTCATCTCTGTGTCAAACAAACGTTTATGATTCTTACACGTTTAGTTCAGCAGAATAATCTCCACATATTAAAACCACTTTAGGATTTCTGAAGTAAAAAGCTAATGTTGGAACTACAGCACGGTCACATGACTTCACGTCACCACCGCTAAGCTAAAGGTGGCTAATGTTGGGCAATAAAGGAACTACAGCACGGTCACATGACTTCACGTCACCACCGCTAAGCTAAAGGTGGCTAATGTTGGGCTATAAAGGAACTACAGCACGGTCACATGACTTCACGTCACCACCGCTAAGCTAAAGGTGGCTAATGTTGGGCTATAAAGGCAACCTGGTCTCACCAGAATACGTGAAATGACCACGACTCCTTAACACCACATTACGTGGTGGAGTCACGGACTCTGCTACATTTACGTGTCTGCATCACGGAAACAACCCCAATGTAAAGTGAATGAGGCTCCTTTGTCGTGGTGGACACACACATTTCTACAACATCCCGCAGTGAGCTTTCTACTCTATAAAACGTTTTTAAAATCTACTTTATAGCCTGTAGTAACTCACGGGAGGCTTCTTTTATTTTATTATTTTTCATAATAATTTTTATTTTTCGTCAGAATGTATTATGGTGCATTAGTTACGAACTTATGTTCTCTAAAAACAGTGCATTGTTTGTAATACAACTGTGGTTTTTATGAAATGAGTTTTTAAGGAAGGCCAGAGCTTCAGCTGTGTCAAATAGATTGTTCCCTTTAGTTTACGTTATTTAAAAGACAATTATATTCCTATTTGATCATGTCCCCCTTATTGTAGGCTAATATTAGTCATTTAAAAATAAATAATGATGATAATGATGGTGAAAACCACTCCCCCCACATCGGAATGACGATGGTTACTGACTGTATTTCAAATGCTTTTTATTATCACAATGAACCAGAAGAAGATTCCGTCGTTACCACGGCAACGTTACGTCGCACTTGACGGCAATGTGACGTCACGTACGCTTCTTACCCACTATCACCTCACTTTCATTAATTTGATCTGACACCGGACTACAGTAAGTATCTCAACCCAAGGGGAGTTTATTTCTTTAAAACACTAAATAATGTTGCTTTTATTTCTTCCACTGTAGCACAGTCTCTATATCGTTTCATTCCTGGATATTAGGTTGAGTTTTGTAGTGTGTTTAGCTTTTACATACGCGCAAGCTATCGTCCAGCTAGCGGCCTCCGGCCTTCCGGTCAAAGTTTTTAGCTGGATAGCATTTATAGTTTATACAGCTACATGGCATTAGCTGTCCCCGGCACAGTTGGATAGTGGAGGTGCCTGCTAGAACAAATCTGTTTAAATGCATGTATTTGCCCATGTGTTGTGAAGACAGTCTTCAACACAGAGTTGTAATAGTGGCTAAAGCGCATCGGCGATGGAGTGGAATAAAAATGTGGAACTGGAGTTTTTCCAGAGGATGTGACTGGCCAGTGGGGACCACCCAATGTCCCACTCTGAATCAGAAATACTTCATTGGTCTCAGGGGGAAATTGGGATTGTTACATTGTAGAATTAAAATATATAGTAGAAGATATAAGAAAAACAAGTATGTAAAAAGATGTGCATAATATTACAATATGCACAGTATAAATGCATAATGTATGCCAGAGTATTGCTCAGATTAGTTATTAGTACATAGAGTATTGCTCAGATGAGTTATTATTACATAGAGTATTGATCAGATTAGTTATTATTACATAGAGTATTGATCAGATGAATTATTATTACATAGAGTATTGCACAGATTAGTTATTATTATTACATAGAGTATTGATCAGATTAGTTATTATTACATAGAGTATTGATCAGATTAGTTATTATTTAAACTTTACTCGTCGTATTTTATATTTGATTATTCCGACAGTTTTCCTAAAATGTTGGAATTGTCTCAAATGTCTTTATCTCCATGATATTGTTCTCCTCCTCTCTCAGCAGAAATCTCTTACAGAAACCAAAGCGTCCACATTCCTTCCTCTCTATATTCTGAAGCTTTCTACACACACACCGTTCACACACTCATTTATTAACAATTTATTGCAAAAAATGTGCAGAAAAAACATCTTTGAATTCAAACATAGCACGTACACAAATTATAAAGAAACCCAATTATAAATAAATCAACAGAAACTAAAGTGTGACTCCCAACCTGAACATGATTTCTGGTATATTAACTTTAATAAATAACAATGTAATAAATATGAAACATACAGGTCAATATCACCTTGCTATTGGTAGTTGAACTGTCAACACCCCAAAACATATTCTTAGATAGAAATACCTCATTTTGAGTTATTTAGACTTAATTAACACTTATAGTTTCATGTCTTGTTACATAAGAATAGATCAGATCTGTTAAGTGTTATTATGGGAGAATTACTATTCTTGTGGTACTGCTGCCTTATTAGGCCCATATTGAGCATATTAAGACTCATGTACTGTATATGCTTTAGTTTTGATCAAAGCGTTCCTACCTGCAGCTGTTAATGTTTAATTCTCATTTTATTTTTCCCTTTGTTTCTCCGTCACTGACATTATGTTTGACGGTTCTTTGATTTTAGGTAAATTATTCTCATGCCAAAGCCTTCACAACATGTACTGGTGGAGGGGGGGGAGAGTCTCTGAACAATAACACAGACTATTAAAAACTCATTAATAATCAAAGTTAAGAAAAATAAATTAAAAGTCCTCCTGAAGTAGAAAAGTATTGGCTTCAAAGTTCACTGACAGACCTAAAAATAACAAATCATTTAAATATGTGAAGCAGTGAGATGCTAACAAATTAAAAGCTCATAATTGATCTCCCTCTTCCTCTTCCTCTTCCTCCAGGACCCCATACCCTCCTCTGTGCTCCCAGAGAAGGGTCCAGCTGCCGGGGGGACGGTGATCACCATCAAGGGGGAAGACCTGGACACCGCCACGAAAGACGATGTCTCTGTTTCTGTCGGAGGAGTTCCCTGTGAAGTGTAAGCAGCTCCTTTTTAAACCTTTACACAGAGGTGGGAAGTAGTGGAGTGCAAATACTTTGTTGCTACTTTTACAATTTTCTAGTAACCTTCTTAAATACTTTAGGGATATTTAAACGTTTTCATTTCTCCCTTTCAGGCTAAAGTTCAGCTCTGAGATCTCGTGTAAAACGGGGAAATATCGGGGGCAGAAAGTTCCCTCGGAGTGGTTAGTGGTGGCGGTGAAATATGGGACAAACACGACGAAGGAAATTCCATCCGCTTACCAGTACTCGGAAAACCCCAAGATCACAGATTTTAACCCCAAGAGCAGCTTCCTATGGTGAGTGTGTGCTTAAAAGCTGGTTTGATTTTATTGAATAAAGGTGATGGTTTATTAGAGCTATTGTAGGATAAAATAAATGGAAAATATAAAGCCAAGGGAGGGGGACAATGTTCCATGAAAAAAATTTGGAATTTCCAAGAAAAAATTACTTCAAAAATAAATAATACAATGTATTTGCTGTGCTGAGATGAGGCTGCTCCAACCTTGCACTATTTGACTAACACTATTTAAATATTTTGTAATCTTTATTATTATTATTTTTCTCCTCGTGTGTGTGTGTGTGTGTGTGTGTGTGTGTGTGTGTGTGTGTGTGTGTGTGTGCGTGTGTGTGTGTGTGTGTGTGTGTGTGTGTGTGTGTGTAGCGGTGGTCGGAGGATTGTGGTGTTGGGAAGCGGTTTCGATCTGATCCAGAGAGCCACCATGGAAGTCCTGTCCGCTAACGACGAGTTCTCACAGAACACCGCACCTGTACAGGTGTGTGTGTGTGTGTGTGTGTGTGTGTGTGTGTGTGTGTGTGTGTGTGTGTGTGTGTGTCTCTCTTTTTAAAGTAGAGACACTACATACTGATATACACCTGAACATCAGCAGGAGAGGACTCTTTAAAGTAGAGACACTACATACTGATATACACCTGAACATCAGCAGGAGAGGACTCTTTAAAGTAGAGACACTACATACTGATATACACCTGAACATCAGCAGGAGAGGACTCTTTAAAGTAGAGACACTACATACTGATATACACCTGTTTTCTTCTGTGCAGTTTGTTCAGGAGCATGTGAGTAAGAACGACACGGTGCTTCAGTTTCTCTCTCCGGCGGTGAACTGCTCCGTCGACAGCACGGCGTTGAGATCTGTCCTCTGGTTGGACGACGAGAAGGAGGAGCTGAAAGGCTTCGACTATCATCCCGACCCCTCCTTCAACCAGCTGCTGAAGAACGTCATCACCGAGACCAGCATCATCATCGTCCACGTGAGCTTTTATTCTGAAAATACATCAATGTGGCGCTACCCATATTCTATTTACATGTATATAGACTCTTTGCACTACTTTTTATTTTGTATTTTATTACATATGTTGCGTTGTTGGAGGAGCTCAGGTCAGAAGAATTTCATTGCCATTTGTAGCTTTGTGCATATGACGATAAAACCTTTGAATCTTTGAATCTTGAATAAACTATACCACAAAGGGACAAAACGTACTAGAAAAGACAAGTAACTACAAAGAGGACCAAATATGACTGAAAAGAGACACAAAAACAACCACAAAGAGACTCAAAGTCACCATATAGAGACACAACTATAACTGGATAACATATCAAACAGTGATAAGGACACACAAAATGACTGCAAAAACACAACTCATAACAAAAAAAAGGACAAAAATAATTACAAAGAGGCTCAAAATGACCACAGAGATGCACAAATTGACTACAAATGGACACAAAACAACTAAAAAAGGGGGGAAACCGACCAAAAATAACAACATTATGCATATGTTGTCTTCACTCTACTCTTCTTCTTCGTGTGTTTTCAGGGTCGAG